TATTCAGAGTCAGCTGTGATGGCCACAGCTTCCTGTAAGACCCATGATATCACTCCACAGAAAATATCTTCTCCATAAAAAAACAGAGTAGGCTGACAGGGGAATTTTTGGAAGCTTCCTTTATCATTACTTCCCCTTCTTTTTTTCCTAGCAGGGTTCATAGCCTCCTAAGAGCTGACTCAGCTACCCACAGTGTCAATGAACTCCAGGTAGACAGCCAGAACCATATTCTCTGAAGGTATATTAGGGAATGAAAAGGTACATTGCTACCAACAAAAACCAGGCTGGCCCTGTGATGTTCATCTGTGACAGCATATGGCCCACATATGTCTCTGACCAATTATTTGTCTTCAATTTGGGAATTAGGACCAATAGGACCATTAGTGGGGCCAGGCTGGGGACAAGAGTGACTATTTCTGTGGCATAGATTATGACAGTGAGTGCAACACTCCCTGGCTCACAAAAACACAGATAGATGCACAGAAGAGACAGGTCCTTCCCCACCCAGGTCTGAGTCTCACTCATCCTTTGACCAATGACTATGACTTTGGTCTCCACCCACTCAGCTGGTTTCTCACTATGGCCAAGATACAGAGAAGTGTAGATGTCTATTGGAAGTGTAGTTTTCCCAAATAATTAGTTGGATCTTAAATTCAAAGTCTTGCCACTTCCATAAACTTCTTTGAAGAAACTAGTTCACAGATTACAGGATGGAAAAGGAGTCTAGAGATCCTGATTAGATACCAATATTCTACTCCCCCCATTTCACTATGGAGTGTGTCAGAAGGGAGACCTGGTTTCTGACCTTCCTCTCAGAACTTGGCATTGGGTTAAGACAAACAATTATGAGAACAAGAGTATGGAGTCCTCAGGATGAGAAGGGCTGACATTCCAAGAAAAGAACTTGTATTCAATACAATATCAACCAATAGCCATGCCATTAGGCAGTGCCCCCATGTCTCTTAGATTTGATCAAGGACAAAATCCACCTCATTCCCACAACCAAGGAGATATGCTCATGAGCCTCCCAATTCTGATCACAATTAAACACCATGCAGCACAAACCAGGCACATGCTTATTATTGAAAAGATTAATTCTAGGTTGGAATGACACTTTTATTCAAAGACAAAACACTGAAAGAGATCAGAATATATGAGGTCACTGTGCTGCCTATAATCCCAGTGGCTCAGGAGGCTGAGGCAAGAAGATTGCAAGTTCAAAGCCAGCTTCAGTAAAAGAAAGATGCTAAGCAACTCAGTGAGACCCTGTCTCTAAATAAAATACAAAATAGGGCTGGGGATTGGCTCAGTTGTTGAGTGCCCCTAATTTCAATGCAAAGATCTGAGAGAGACAGCAGAGAGAGAGAGAGAGAGAGAGAGAGAGAGAGAGAGAGAGAGAGAGATCAGAAGCTAGAATAGATGTATTACCATGGGATTTGCAAAACCATATTTAGATTTGTCCTGTATATGAAAATGCCTTCTGAAACCCCTAATAATATTATATCCAGGCTGTATTCTTTATACATCCTAGGAGAAATAGTTTTGCAATGTTACCTTCAGTTCTTTAAGATCACATAGATATGTCATTACAGACATTTAAAAAAAAATAAAAAGTTTCTATGTACACCTTCCAGACTTGCATATGAACTGATGTCTAATTTGTGAAAGTTCTGGGCTACACAGGAAAAAACAAACTACATATAATTTACTGCACAAAATACCACTGACTATTAGATTTATCTTTAATGCTAATAGACCCTGATTTGACAATAGATGATACTTTGTAGACAAATACATAGAGCCTAAATGATAATTCAGGGAAATGTTTGGGTAAATACCCGTGAAATAACTGCTGTAGTTTCTTTTAATCTGGATATTTTGTCTTTGGGAATGGTACAGGGAGATTGATGCACTTTATATAGTCTGTCTAGGCCCATGTGAGGGGTAGCAGCAGCCCCTACATGCAGCCGATTAATCAGAGGATGAAGCTTCAGGATCCTAATATTTTGGCTGAGGATATTTCCACACCCTTGCACAGCCCAGAATGACCCTAGTACATCGAGGGAAAGTAATTATTGGGAGTCTAAATGCTTTCACTCTTCTCATCTCCTCCCTTAGTGACATTGGAATTTATTTTCTTCCATATGAAGTACAGTCCCCATACTTCATACTCCCAGGTCAAAGAATGTGTGGCTTGTCAAGGAAAACATTACTGTGTCACTCACCAGACACTAGAAGGCACTCAACCTGTCTCAGGACAGGAGGCCGAGGCTCTAGCCTAAGTTTCCACCTGGCTGCATGGGTAGAGGAGAGGAACCAGCAACCACCCTCTATTTATATCAAGTCCCAGGTAAGCAGGGCAGTGACTGGGGAATCCAATGTGTCCCATCTCTTCCTGTACTTGAGGTTCATAATGTGCTTCACAGATTCCATCCAACTGAGTTTACTACCTGGAAATTTCCCCATCAACAGCTCTGAATGCATTTGCCATGCCATCAAAATCCTCCTTAGGAGTTAATAGTAACTCGGACTAAACAGGTTACCCTCACATTGTCACTTTCTTCTCCCATCATCACACACCCTGTCTCTTCCCCAACTTCATGGACTATGTTGTCCCCACACATGTGCTGTGATTTCTCATCAGTCCTGAGGGAAGTTCCAGTGACACATCTGTAGATAGAGTCCCAGCCTCAGGTTATATCCCAGGCTGCCTGTCACTCTCTCTCTAATCACTGTTATTAATTATCTGCATATTATTACACCTGCATGTTTCTTTCACTAACATTGTTGTAGTTAATTGATTTATTTGTGCTAATTATTTCCCTAGTGGGTCAGGGAATTTTTTTAATGCAAGAATACATGCAGGAAAACAGACTCATGAGCACATGGAGGCGAATATTTTTTTCACTTCCAAAAAACAAAGCATTTAGAAATAAATACTTACCTTATGAAAAAATGGAAAAAAAACCCTGAAGAATAATGTTTTCTGGCTCCCTTATTAACCTATTCATTGTGGGACCTGGGACCTTTTTCAGCTTCTATTTCGCCATCCTTACCATCTTAGCCTTCCATTTTTGTTTTGACTTGAGACGCCGGGATTGGTCTTGCATCTCCAGCCTCTCACTTGTAGTTAAGGAGAAAAATGACACAAAAACCAACATATTTTTCTTCCTCACAAGTGCAGACTTGCACTGACAAGAAATTCTGGTCAACTGACTCGTTCCATGTCATGGGTGTGTGTTGTACTGCATGGTCAATGTTGGCTGCTTAGAACTTGGAAGAAGTGTCTGCATCTCCAAAGAAACAGGCGACAGAGCACAGTCTCTGGTGGGTGGGACAGACTATTAAACTGCACACTAGGTGTGTCCAAAGGACAGCCTCAGCCTGAAGATGGAAACTCCTAGAGCAAAGGATGTATCATGTTTCTGCTGAATTCCCAGCATGGCAGCTGGTGAGACCACAGTGGGTCTGAATAAGCATTGGTGTGAATGGGCTCCTGTCTGTATCTGTGCTTCTCACCACTCACTCACATTGACTCTGCACCTTCAGCTGACAATAAGAAGAGCCAGTTCCTGAGTCCAGTGTCACCCAGCACCAAGACCAGGAACCACTTCCATGAGCAGTCACCACCCTAAAAATTATGCAGAGATAACTCAGATGGGCCAAATGCACCTGTTCATATTTTCACTTGTAATGTGAGCCTCTCCTTCCTAGTCCTGAGAATGGTAACATCCATAAGAAGAAGATGAATTTTCTCCCTTGGCCAAAGATCAAGAAAACCTGTGTCTGTGGGACAGGTTCTGAATCTGCACCTGGACCAAGGATGCCCTGACATACAGCAGCCAGTTTAGAGTGGCCACTAGAGGGCAGTTGAGAACCACCTGACAAAACCCCCTAGGTGTGGGCTGGGCTTGGAATTCAGGATTCAAAAGTGCAGGAGGATTAGTAGTGACCACAACTTGAGATCTAGAGAAAGAAGTGTCATTTTTCTATAATGTCGTCTTTGAAACAAGTTCAATTTTTTTGTTATTCATTTCTCTTATATCTAGCTTTTCTAGAATTTTCCTTTTTTTTTTTTTTTTAGGTGTTTGCACAAAAAATAGTCCCGCTTTTCTTGACACCTCCTTCCCACACCCAGCTCATCTCATTGAGCTAAACTCTGGACCTGTCACACATTTCCCAAACACCAGCTCTCACAATGGAAGGGAGATTTCACATGC